CCACATGGAAGAAGTAATTGGATTGTACTTTCTGCACACGACCAAGGCAGCAGGGAAACCCAGAACTGTAGGCTGAAGAACTTAGCTGTCTAGAGGGTAGGGAAGCATCTGATGCCGAAGAAAACTAAATGGCTGTGTCTAACTGCAAGATATTTCCTTCCTTTCCATGGAGGAGCTGGGACATGATGAACTGCACTAACCAGACTGCACTGGAACTTGGGAAGGTCTGTGAAGCCTTCAGGGAGCAATGAAAAACATAACCACCCAAATAATCCCCACCGCAAGCTATCCCAGGGGCATTAAATGTCTCTGAATATATGAAACAATAAGCCATGCTACGGGATGCTAACAGTTAGGGGCATTTCTTAAAATTACAATACAGAGGCTTTACTGCAAAATATAGCTGTGTTTCCACAATGTTAGGGCCTCCATGTGCTACCACACAGCTGGTTATATGATTATGCAGGAGCAACTGCAACCCCTCAGCCTAGAATCAAGAAAAAATATGCAGTTATTTCATACATTTCCAGATACGGTAGTATTTATTATTATGCTGTTACAAAATGCCATGTTGTAACCTTAAGCATTGTGCTATTTCTTTATTCCTAAAGACACCAGAATACTGACATTATCATGTTCCTTGGAGTGAATCGGGGAAAGTGATGAGATTGCCAAGACTTTATGCTGTAAGTCTTTGAGAGTTTAGTAGATTTATTCTTTTCCTTCAAACAAATGCCTGCTTGTCATTGTCAGCCCTCCACTGCTTGTTCCCTCCTCCATTCTCTTAGATCCAAGCTTAAAAAAAGAAGCTGTTTGGGGCTTGATGTGTTGCTTGTAGCTATGTTAGAGAAACTGTACTATTCTGGGAGCACTCAGGCTTCTCCAAACAGCTCTTCCAGCTGTAACACCATGCATGGTTTTCATCTCAGCCAGAACAACTTTCATTGGTCTCCTACCAAGCCCCACCAGCCAAAACCCAAGTGCTGGCTGATGTTCTGCAAGCCTTAAGGAAAGTGTGCCTGTGTGTCTGCATGTGTGTGTACAGCCATGTGCACACACTCATTTATTCACATAAAGGAAAGGTTGAATGATCAGCTTTGAACCACCACCCCCTTCACTCCAGCCCTGTTATAGAAGGTTCATCCTGCTGATCTGCTTTAGACCAGTGGCTGGCTTGCTGGAAGGTACAGTACTGAAAAGGACTCACAGACCTGAACCGACCACCGCCGAAAGGCATACCAATGGGATGTGTTGCTTTGTTCTGGACAAGCCATCATCTCCCTCTGTCCCTGAAGTGGAGGCAGAGGAGGGTAGTGTGTGCCCATATGAAGGTCCATGCCTCAGGAGAGCCCTCACCTAGGCTCTGCCACGTTAGACTCGCATGAGGACTGCTTGCTTTGCACAGGGAAGGGACTGCTCTGCACCAGAATGACACCCCAAAACTTGCACTCATTAGCAGCAGTGGCAGGGTTTCTTCTGCAGGCTGATTTATGCTTTTCTCCTCGATAAATATTTGTACCAGCCTTGACTGGAATAAAAGCACTGACACACAGGGAAAACTGTCTGCTATTATTTTCCACTTATAAAGAACAAAATCTGCATGATGAGCCAAATTCACCTGTTGCAAAGATTATTTGTTACATGAAATAGCTAGGGCAGCAGAAAGAAACCATTCCTGAAATTTACAAGAAAAAAGATTATTCTTTACAGCAGCGAAACACCACCATTGTCCCACTCAGCGCATTAACATTCACGGTAAAAGATGGCAGTTGCAAAATGTGGGGGTGTACAATCAAATCAGTATTTCTTAAACAGTTTTGGAGTGTGCAAGCTGATATTTTGGAATAATAATGGAGAACATGCAATGTTCTGAGTTGTCAGAGTTTCTGAGGGGGAAGATTCAAATGTCTGCAACACTTAATGCCTTCCAAACTCCAGCTGAATGGAAGATGAACAAACAGGACAAATCAGGGTATTGTACTTAGAAGTTTGGTGGGTTATGATTTGTTATCTTTTTTTCCTTAAGTAAATCCAGAGTTTAGATGTTGCTGTGTTGGAAAACTAAAATTACACGGTACCATACACAGATCTCCTATGGATAGTACGAGTTGGCATCTATGTGTGTGCATGTATTTGTGTTGTAATTCAATACATAATGTCATCCCAAGCTAAAAATGTTTACAGACCTTCTCAGACAGAAAGTTTTCACATCAGAAAGAGGACCAATTGTAATGTGTGGCAGCCAGAAATAGCGAGATATGGAACATCAAAGAAGTTAAATTGATCTTCCTGCCTTCTGTTCCAAATATCGCTGCTCCAAAGCTAGTCTCCCTCTCTTTCTGTCTCTATGCTCACAAGTACACGGTGTTTCTTGTCCCCACCAGCATGCACTTTATGCTGTCTTTGTGACCACCCTCTCTCTCCATTTCCATACGTCTGAGCTACAGTCAAAGGTTTGGATTAACAGGAGCAGAATTTTGCACAGGTGGGCAGTGATACTGTGAAATGCAGTGAAAGCAAAGAAACGTGGACCATTAGCTTGTGAGCAACCACAGACACTGGGATTTCAGTGTGCAGTAGGGCTGAGGCTAAACTTGGTATCATAACAAAGCGTGGGTCTAAATAAAAACTGCCTTAAACTCCCAGGAGGTTTGGTTCGTCTACGTGATGACAGTTGTTAGAGAGTAGCTCTCCTACAGAAACAACCATACCAAATATAGTGTGCTGGAGTAAATGCAAGAGGCAACACTAGAAGAAAACTAAAAAAGCTTTGCTTGCTCTCTGAATGTGACCCTATTTCTGCAAGAGGCTCTGCATACCATATCTGAAAGATTTTGTCCCTTTAGCTCTGTGGTTCCCTCAGTTATTTATACAACACGGCCGTTTTCAGAAGCTCCAGGTCTTTCTTTAGTCCATGCTTTGGGCTGGGAGACTCCATGTACCAGCCCCAGAGAAGCTGGTGAGCAATTTTCTCTCCCATATGACTGCCAACTGCTTTGAAGGGAGGCCACCAGGAGACTCTATTTAAGTAACCGTTTTGCTGATCTGCTGTTGATCAGTTGCATAGCTAGTCTTGATTTAGCCGTGGAGTCATGCAGGCAGCAAGATGCAACTAGCAGAGGAAGCAGCCAAACACAATAATGCAGACATTTGCCTGCTTTACTACGATAGTGTATTTTCTGGCAGCTTCTCTTCTGCCTTATTCCTCCCACTCTGCCCAGGATGGCAGGTGGGTCCCTCATGCAGCTGCTGTGAGCTGCAGGAACTTTGCAGCCATGTACAGACTGCAGGACCTGCAAGACAGCAAAGTGTGACCTTGCCTGGAAACCTAGGTATACCAAAGCTCTCTCTGTCCTCAGAAGGCCCAGATTTTCACCAATGAGTTTCAAAGCACAGGATGCAGAAGCACTTCCAAGGTTGCTTCTAGGAAGATTCATTCCTTAGATTTTTTATTATGCTTCCTCCTCTGCATCTTCTTTTCTGATGTTGTTGTGTTTGGAGCCGTTCAAATTTTAGCACACAAAGCAGAACTCAGCAAACCCCCTTGTATGTAAGTACAGAACCCTGACTAGAAATGGTTTCAATTGACACTGGACCAGCTTTCACCTGCTCCTTTCAAGCTACCCTGAGGAGTGATCTTGTGGGAAGATCCTGCAACCAGCCGAGTCTTGGTACAGTGTCTTAGCAAGCCAGACAGACCCACAGCCACGTTGCTAAATGCTGCTGCTGGGCCGTGAGAGGGATAAGATGTCCGAGTGCTTTTGTGTCCCCACAAAATAAGAGGTTCCACTCTGCAAAATGCAGGTCTTGTTTCTTATGGGGCAGGGACAGAAACTGCCACCCCACGAGCAATGCCTTCCCTAATGACCCTTGCTATAACATACCCCTATGGCTGCCAGTAGGAGTTGTGCCTGAATAAAAGCTACTTTATTAGAAGACTTTGGACCGCTACAAGAGGGGATATGTCCTAGGGGAGTTTGCACGCCTCTGAGCGATGGCTGTGCAGGCTGTGCTGCCTGTAGACACCAGCACTGTGGAGCTCACCTGATGCTTAAAACATAGTCAACAGTCCAGGCTATAAGCCCACACCATTTCATTTTAAAATTAAAGTAATTTTCTGAGTAATAGGAGCACATTCACACTTGGAACTGTAGAGCACTTAGCATCTTTTTTGATTCCAGTGCTAGAGAACAAAAGAAGGGAAAAAACACGCCAGGAAATATTGTTTCTTGGCTGAACTCTTATAGACCAAGTTTTGGTCCAGAGCGGGTTTTTTGCATGACTCAGTGGTAAATTTCTCAACAAGGAGCTTTATGAGATAGAGGTAATACTGTAAAAACCGTTTAACTCTAGCTGGGCTGGAGGCAGTTTTGAAAACTTTTAGCATCTTTTTTTTCTTTCTCACAGCAGTGCTTGTAAATGGATTGAAACCTTCCTCGGGGATTTCTGTAACAAAGTGGGTAAAAATTTAAGTGCTTTGTAATCTCTATGGGAAGACTTAGTATCAGGTAGAGTAGATAATTTGAATTACTTAGAGCAATCATGCTTTTGAAAGCTTTACTTCATTCTTGTGAAAACTAGTTTGTAGAAAAATTACGTTCCGAAATCTACTTTGCATGCTCCCCTAATGAACTTCTGATTTACATGTGGTTTGTAGATATGACTTCTCTCTCCTAATGTAGTTTTATTCCATTTATTCAAGGCAGATTTCTGTTTTAGGGGGAAATATTATGTAGTATGGATAGCCGCTGTGGAGGAATTACTGCAAATATCTCATTTGTAACGCTTTTGTTCTTCCACTCAGGAACCCCACATCTTATGCCTCCATGGAGGAGAGGATATTGTGCTTGACTTATTACCAAGCCTAAAGCATTCTTAAGATTGACTGCAACTAATCACTAAAATATGTCTTCTCATTTTGGGACTGCTGTGACTCTTCAACACGGGAAAACTGGTTCCTACTTTTACCTATTTTACTTCTAATTTTTCTCCCCACAAAGGCTAGGTCCAGACTTGTGTGCTTTCCTCATCAGCATGCCCATTAATGTCATCAGAACTAAGGACATGAGGAGGATGAGACCAGTACCTGACAAATGAAAGCGTGCTGGTACAAGGCTTGAAACCAATAGTGACCAGACTTCAGGCAAAGAATTAGGGAAGCTGCTGAAGTCTCTACACAGGTGTCGACAGCAGTCCCAAGGCGCATATGAAAGTGTCTTACGACCCAGCCTCCTCTCCCCCATCCCTGAGGATGCAGCTTCCACCATGACACATCCCATTTTTGCCTCTCCAGGTAAGGCTGGGATATTGGTATAAGAGTTGGGCAATTTTTATTGTCTTTTGATATATAGTAACTATGCTATTTTTTCCATTCTGATTTTTTTTTTTTTGTCATGACAGTCACTGCAGTCAAATATCTGTGTTACAATCTACTTACATAGTGTTTTCCGATTATTTAGGACTACAGGCTAGAATTAGTAGTTTATTGAAGGACAGCACTAAAGAAAGGGACATCAGATACTGTCCTATGGTTTGGAAAACTGGCCACTAATCTAATGCTGTTACCCAACAAGCCATTCTGAGTTACAGGATGGAATAAAAGCCATCTCAAAAAAATAAATGAAATAAAGTTGTGCTTCAGGGCATAAACAATCTTTGAAAAAGGTTGGGATAGGAATAATATCCCCTTCTGACACATTACTTTATAATTACAGAATGTGGGACTGCTTGCATCTTTCTCTGAGAAGTCTTGTGCTGGCACTTTTAGATACTAGGTAAGTAATTTTTTAAATTTATAGGTCCTTCAACGTCTTTTAGTGGAAATACAGGCTGTCAAGGACATTTTACACAGGTCAATTGCTATGTAGAGACCAAGAACTTCATTTCTTCAATCACTTTTCATGACCACATTAGAGGTAGTCCACATGCCCAGGGACCGATGAGCCACGTGATGAAAACCACAAGACAATTCAGAAAAGGAATCAGATTCTGTCTGACAGTTTTCTGACACCTGTCTTTAAATCAAGGCTGGACTTTTTTTCTTTTTCTTGCAGATGACATGCTTTGATTCAGCTAGAAAATACGAGCTTGAGGAAAGAACTTAAAAGTCTGTGGCAAATCTATAAGGACTGATGTACAACATGATTATAATGTTTCATTCTGGACTGAAAATAAACAATTCTACAAAGTTCCATATTTCTATGAAAATAAAGACATAAATCTACAACCATGTTGGCAAACAATATGCAGACTTCTCCCAGGGAACATCTGCAAAGAAGCCTCACACCTGCAGGAAGGGTGTTCCCAGGGTGATGTCACCTATGTGTATCACAAATTTTCTCCTTTGCTGCTCAGATGAGGGTTTTTAACGATTGCCTCCCATTTACTGCAAAACATTTCATTGCTGAGTAACTCGAGACTTCTTCACACTGTTTGAGTTTGATGGCATGTACCAGTAATGCAGAGGCCTTTCTTTCCTGGGGGAAATTAAGAAAATAATTCATTCTTTCACTCAGTAACTCAACTGAATCCAATTTGAATTCATTCTTTTAGGAAATGTGTTTAGCTAATTCGGTCAAATTAAAATATGAAAGAAAAACATCAATAATGCTGACCACCTTGACATCACAATTCTTTGTTCTTTCATACCGTTCTTCCTCCAGTGAAAATTTTCTTTTGCAGAGGGGGAAACTAGCAGAAAGCCTTAGAAGGATTAAGTCACAGCTGCAATTTCTGCGTATTACTAAATGCTAGCATGTATATATGTACACAAAAAACCCCTCACCTATACACTTCTTATGTTGATTGTGGTTTTTGGTTTCATTTGTGAGCTTTTATTTTGAAGTTCTTTTCCTTACATTGACTTTAGCGTGTATTTGTTAGATGCACAGAAAAAGATGTTATAACAGGACGGGAGTGTCAGCTGCACTCAGTGTCCTTAAGAGACAAAGAACAAATATTACTTGGAAATTTCTGTGGCACGGGGCCTTCTCAGTGGCTGCTGAGCTCATCCCTATTCCTCGCGTGTGGTTGTTAACACAGGGACACATGAGGGAACAGCCCAGAACTGGAGGGGCCAGGACCAAAGTGAATATTGATTCCCTTCTTCCTTGGTGTGACTGGCAGCTTAGAAAACATTGATCACTAGGGCAGTCTTGAGAGAAGGCTGGATGAATTCGTGGAAGAGGAAACCCACTGAGAGCGACTAAATACACTGAATACGAGTCTGGCTCAGGATGCGTCTGGGCCACAAATGGCTGCAAAGTACTTGGAGGAGAGGGGAGATGGTGCTTGGCCTTGCCTCCTTTCAGCATCAACTTTTGGGCGTTGGTGTTAGCTGTTCTTATTTCATGATGCTTTTATTTACTGTTGGAAGGAGGTGAAGACTGGAAGCCGCCCAGGACACTGGCTGAATCCAGCTGAGAGACCCCTCTTTCCCCAGGGCTGGCTGCAGCACAGAGTATTGACCAGCGTTGCAGCTGCCTGGTAAGTGTCTGCTTCATAACCAGAACCAATTTTCCAAAGTGCCTAAATGGCTTGAAACTGCAGGTTCTGTTGGCCAAGCTGAACTGACTTGCACATATTGGGAAACTGCTTCCAGTTAGCTTTCTCTCTTTTTATCCCTCTCCCTGTGTTTGGGCATTTTCAATGATGCAGAAATATACCATTTTTGGTATGTTATATAATATAGAGATAATACATATGTAATATAGAGTAGCTCAGCTTCTCTTTATTTAAGCAGATGAGGAATGAGGAGCTTCAAACTTTTACAGAACTGCACAAATACTTTGAAATATTTTAACTCAAGCCACTCTTGCTGATAGGAAACCTCATATTTCCTTGCTAATTTTCAGAGTTACGTTGTCAGGTGATCCTTTGTCCCTGTATGCATAGCACAGTGGATGGATAAATTGCAGCAAAAGGAATTACATGTTGCATTTAGAGGCAAGTATCAACTTTAAAACATTTATCTGCCTGCCAAAACTTGGCAAAACAAGAGGGTAGGTTCAGCTCAGTACACAGAGTAGTTCCTCACTGCCTGACTCTCCTCCCGGCTGCCGGGAGTGACTGGCATGTCAGGTAGTACATGCTAAGCAACAGCCAAAAAGCACTTCTTTGCTTGTAAAAATGAAACAAACTCTTTATTGAAAAAAGCTATTTTCAGAGGTACTGCAGCTGCAAATAGCTCTGTAGCTGTGCTGCTCAGCCATCACCATGCAGAGCCCAGGGGCCCGGCAGAGGCCAGATTTGAGTAGTGTTGGTCGATATGTGTGTAACAGGGACCTCTGCAATCCCAAAGAGGCACCTCCAGCTGCCTTGTGCCAGAGCATCCTATGGCTGCCTTTCCTCACTTCTTCATTACCCAAGCAACAAACATTAACATGAAACAAGCATTAACAGAATATACCTATGTAATTGTTCACAGCCTGTAATTCAGGAGAGCCCCTGGGACAACCTGTGCTATTTCAACATCCAGTTCTTTCCTGACTGATCAGCAACTCTTGTTTTGTGTTGGTAAATCTTTCAGTTTTGGCTTTGCCCTGCCGGTAGCATCCATTGTGTAGATGGTGTTCTCTCCTGGTTGGGCTGCAGCTGGCCGCCCCCTCATGAGGAAGAGTACTGATTTTTCAAGGCTGTGGTGATCTGGTGTTATGGGTGCTGTACAATGTCAGATAGGAGGTCTCAAATAACAGTTCCCTGTCTGTTCAAGGTCTTCCCAGCATAATCTCCTCGTAACATTCTCCTCTTGGTCTTGAGGGTAGTATCAGCTGCTCAGGTGCTTTCACACGACAAGGTTTGTAATATCTGCCCAGTGCCGTGGGTTATAACAGCAAATGATATGGCTTCTAACAAACATCTCCAGGGTTTCCTCAGACTTTTCAACCTCTGAATAATTTTCATTCATCCTGTGGCCTGTATCTGTCTATACTACTTTAGAAATGACAGTACTGGTGATTTTGGCATTAAGGATTCCTGTGAGGCTGGTGCAGGGTTGGTAAGAGGCTGCCCCAACCCTCCAGGGCCAGGAGTAATACATCCTTGCTGTGTTTGGACTGAAACTGGAGAGCCTTTAGAAGGGTCAGACAGACATGCACATGATCTGGCTTTCCTCTTTGCAGATGTACCCCTAAAATTCACATCAAGCTCTGACTTTTTGTTGCACACTCTTTTATGCAGTGTATCCTGTCCAAGATGACTGTAATCTGTCTTCTGTCTTATTCAGATCCAGCTCTGTCTCCTGCTATTTTAACTCCCCTCCCAGGAATTCCTGTTAGGCAGACTTTTCATTCCATTATTCAGCCTCAAATCACATTTCACCATTGTTTTGCCCCAAATCAGAATTGCACCTTCAGTCCCTTCACACCTATGTCTCCCAGAAACTAGAACGCTGCTCTGAGGTGGTCAGTCTCTGTGAAGTTGGGGTAACGAGCTGCGGTGACTGTACATGTTTCTGTTATTAAAGCAAACAGACCCATACAGTGTTTTGTTTTGTTTTGTTTTGTTTTTTTCCAGGGGTCAAGTATGCTGCCTCCCTGCCAACTTGCTGTTTTCCCTGTCTGACATGGTTTGCTGTGGGCACTCATGCTTGGCCAGAGGATATGCTCTATGGCTCTGCTCAGGCAAGCCTGTCCCCCATGTGTCCAGTGTATGTTGGATGAATGATGTCAGATCTTTGCTGGAACTACTGAGTGGCTATTTAAGAAAACCCCTTGGAGTTAGGACAGGCACGTCCTGCAGGGCTTATCACGGGCAGCAGGTTGTAGCGATTGCCAGACCCTCCCTTCTGGGCTGTAAAGGTTTTGCAGACAGACATCTGCACAGCATGTCCTGCTCGCTGTATTGCCAGAGACATCACTGGGCAGTACCCTCTCCTCACCTAAGAGCTTTGGGGTCCCAGTGACATGTGTTACAGTTGTCTGAGCACTCAGCAGTGACTTCTTTGTGATGCTACCTAATTTCTCCAGGGCTGGATTCGTTTCTCTCAATAATTTCACCTGCAGGCTGGAATCCCACAAGCAACACTGTTTGTAATTAGGGGTACCATAATGTCTCCAAAGATACGCATAGTGTCAGAGATCTTATATCTGAAACATAAGGCTCTATTGCCCCTTATTTTTGTTCTCGGTTTTGAACACAATTACTGTGTCCCTCTACAGTCTTGTTCTGTCCAGGTCAAGTCTTCAAATAATTTTCTCAGTGGTTCAATTGTTCCAAGTATTATTTTGAAAATAATCTCTCTTAGGTCATTTCTTGTCCTCCTTGCTCAGTGAGACAGTAAAAAGTTTTACTTCCATGTTTTCGCAGTGTCTTTCACGGACAACTCCATGTATTGATTGAATTCTTCCCTCTGCTGAATGTGTGTTCACATGGAGACTTAAAACTAGCTTTTTGAGCTCGCAGTGACCCGAGTCCCTTCTGGCAGCTAGCCTGCTCTGTTTCCAGGCTGTCTGTCTTTGCCTGGGCGATGGGGCAGTTCATTAGTGAAGCTGCTGCAGTGACACACGTACCACACTGGCTGATGACATAAGCTTGGTCCTACCTCTTATAAAGGGACAATTTATCTCCAGCTGCAGGTCACCCTCTTGCTGTATGCTTCCTGATGCCATCTCCGAAGGCTTCCCACATAGATCCTGTGCCTGGCCCTCCCTCCTCAGGAACTGAGCACACAGAAATACTTGACTAAAGGAACGCAAAAGCAATTTCTGCTATCCTTTATGGAGCACCACCTCTACTTGTATTAGTAAGAAAGAAGTTCTGTTAGGGCGTAGCAAGCATCCCTTAGGCAGCTGTGGCAAATTGGAAGCATTTAAAGGTGGGCAATGTCCTAATATCATCTGTTGGAAAGGACTTTATGTTCCATATATTTCATGTTATTGCCCTGAAAAACTAAATGAGGAAGCACACTACTAATTGAAGTGCTTATGGAAATTAAATCCATGTTTAAATGAATTTAAAATTTTTAATGCAAAATTCAGCAGCTAGAAATTTTGCACCAACTTCTACTTAATTAAAATTAATAAGGTTTCAAAGAGTTTTAGTTGGGATAGACCAGGAAAGAATTTGGCCTTAAATGTGTAATTAAAATACAATTATGTTGCAAGGAAGTCATTACTGAGGTTGTACCTCAAAAGCATACCTAATGGGCTATCAAGAGAAAAGGTTTATGCATTTGGTACACCAGCTATATAAGATATAAAAGGATGTAGTCACTGAGAGAAAAGATATTAGCAAGATCATTTATGTAGATAGTAACAGTCCTTTCATGGTCAAATCATTCTGGCTATATTCAGCAAGGGATCTGCTTCATCTTAGGTTGGGATGTACAAAGCACCTCTGCAAGGTTTTTTTTCTGAGACATTTAGTTGTTTCTCAGCCCTCTCCCTGGGCTGTGAGAAAGGGAAGCATCTTTCAAGCAATCATGTCAGACATCGCTGGATGAGGGAAACTTTGGCACTGAAAGAGCTCAGCTGCCCAATTTTGGGAACCATTTCTCAAAGGTGTAGTCAAAGTGAAGTGCCTAATCCAACCCCGGTTAAAACCAGGCAGGGAGCTCTCCTCTTGGTCCCTGTACCAGTCTGTGTGAAACCCTGACCATAGCACCCAGAATGATGGTGTTAGAGCTATGCACCTTGCATATGCACCTGCATTTGCAGGTGTTTTGGTTTACTTTATTGCTATGGTAGACCTATAAAAAAGAATTTAAGAACGATGACATTCCACAAGATGCACAAAACAGATGGGCTAGGGAATAAGGTGGCAGTGTGAGCATAAAACTGAAGCCACTTTCTGCTCTTTGGAGCCAGAACAACCCATCATTAATTTGATATACTTTTTTTTGTTGTTGTGGTGGGGTTGTTTTTTTGTTTTAGGCAGGTTTTTTGGTAACGTGAAAGGTTTTGTTTCAAAATCCACTGAAATCAGTGGTGTGGTTCCTGTTGATTGTACTGAATTTGGGCTAGGTTCATGGAAATAAATGCATTATCTTTTAAAAGAAACCATATAGGTAGTCAAAGATTCAAAGTTCACAATCCCATTGGGATCAGCTCTTTTTCAAAGGTTCAGAGTCATGGATTGATTTGAACAATCTGGAACACATGGATGCAACCTTGAATTCAAATCGCATCAAAAGGATTTGCTTGTAAGCTTCTGATTTAACCTCATCTTTTCACATAACTTTCTGAGTTTTTTAACTGTGATTTTTACAAGTACAGTGAGTCCTGCAAAAGAAGTGTGGGAGAGGAAATGTGAGTCTTTCAGCTGCATAGTGTCCCCTTTGATACACTACAAAAACTGGTGTAAGTAGCCTAATGTTTTAATGAACAGAAATATGTTCCTGGCAAAGAAGTGAATTTAGCACTTAGTGAAAGGCACTCTGCTGAACTGGTGACATTCAGTTCATAATCAAACTTTTATTGTTAAAGAGAAATTGCGGTCACACCCTTTGTATTGAAGATTTAGTTCAATGAAATAAAATTCTGTGACAGTAATTTCTCTCTACCCTTAGATTCCCTACAGCAATGCTTGTTAAATGGATAAGAAACACATAGAGCTTGACCTAGCCTCTCTCATGCCACTCATGTCTTCACTGACTAATACTCAACAAGAATGTTTTCAAGCACCTTTTTTCATTTTTAATGCAATATAGAAGATGTGCAATTGTCAGTGTTGTGGTACTTCATCATCTAAAATGGTTCCCACATCAGAGCTCCTGAAGAAGCCTGCAAAGGAGTGTTTCATATACAACATTATCAGCACTTGTCAACAGGTCAGGCCTGAGTGAAGTCAACCTTCTGTGGCTGTAATAGCACAAGCACTTCCTTCCCTTAAAGTGTTTCTTTCTTTCCCCCAGGGTCTTGTAGTAACATACCTGAAAAAGCAGCCTTTATATCTTCCTCAAGCTAATTAAAATACAGATTCAAGCAGATGAGCAATGCAATATTGCTAAAGTGTCCGTTTGTTAACTTGTCAGTCTCTGAAGAATTTCCCAGTTCGGTCGTGACTGAGGTAAGTGGCACCAGAGCACTCAGCCATGGAAACCACAGCTGGAAAAAAGACACCTGTGGCAACCACAAAACTCACAAGGACTGACACGGGGTGACATTAATTAACAGTATCAAATAAATGGAGAAAAAATATGCTCCCAATCAAAAGGTCACTGAAAAGCCACACAAGTTTGCCCTATGGTGAGTTTTGCCTTTTTGTACCCATATGAAACTTTTTTTTTAATGCTTCTAGGGTGGGTGGTAAAGTTTAGCAGATAAAATTAATGGCCTGAAGTATACAGCTGAGACAGGCAAGAGGCATCACTTACATCCACACACTATCAATGTCAACATATTGTGAGTATGACTTGCCTCCTTCAAACCACCACCACTGCTCCCTCCCAGCTGGAGGCACTGGTCGGGCAAGTGCTGTCAAACAGAGCATCGTGATGGCCAAATCCCATCAGGTGCGGACAGAGGCTGAGTGGAAGCCATCCAAACCTTTTCACCTGTATTTTACGCCAAGTGTGGGACAATATAGGTATTCACTGACTGATGCCTATGCCATTCAACTCACAGGATTGTTCAGTTCCTTTTGATTTATATGTTGTATCACATACACAGCTTAAAAACTGTATCTTCTGTCTAGGCTTTTAATTTGCAAGTTATGTTGCAAATGCATGAGGGGTTTATGTCCAAGAATTTCAGGATTTGTCATTAGTTTTACACAGGGACATGGGGTAATGCCTACTTCCTTTTTTCTTTCCTTTCTTTTACTCATTAAAAGCAAAACACAAATCTGTGCATTTTAAAGCAGCTCTCTGAAATTGCCTGGCCATATAATCACAATCTATCGGACCAAAAATTAAATCTAAAATTAGACATAAAAATCACAACATTACCAATCCAGGATTTAAGGCTTACATTGCTGTGAATTTCTAGGAAAATATTTAAGAATCAATTTAAATGCTAATGAACTGGTTTCCCATAAAACTAGATAGTAGTCATACTGAGTTGCTACATCAGAGCCATAGTATTGGTCTTTCCTTCATTGGACTTCACTTGTGACATTATGTACATAAATTTGCCAGTGTTGCTGTCTATCACAGACCTATGCACCACACTACAGCAAAAAGGGACTTCCCTGAAACCCTAAAGAAACAAAGTTCTCAAAAACTGAAGTCACCCATATGTACTTTTGAAATCTGATTGTAGAGCCTGAGATGAACTCGTGGAAACCCTAGGAAGACGTAAAGGCAGGAGTACTTGTCTCTTCCCCTCCTAGTGGCTTGCTATGTTCCCCAGATTTGCCTATGGGTTATATAGTTTGGTCCCCTATAGTTTGGAGACCTCAAAACAGTCCTACTTGGATTCCTCTGCCAGCTTTGTGCAGTCTCTTTGGGTTGCAATTTTTCAGGGACCCCAGCTGAAAGAAGATGGAAGGGGAGGACAAAGACGCAAACCCTTGTTAACCTGGTTGGAATATAACCTGTAAGACAGAGTTCCAGGGAACCAGATACTTTACAAGCCCAGCAGCTGCGCAATATACAATGCCATCTTGTTTATTCTGTATTTCTGCTGAGGTCACACCCGAGAGAGCTGCATCATGGATGTGGCTTCCCCGTGCTAAGTGTCAAGCGCCCAAAGACAGCAGGGAAACATG